GGAGAACTAGAAAGTTTTATGACTAATATGTCATGTTTTCAGTATAACTACACCAATACCATGACACAGACTTACTAATATACCTGCAGCATACTTTGAGAGGCCCATACTAAGATGGCCAGCAATTCTTCCTCCATTGTTCCTGTACGTATAGCTTGTTAGGCAGCATCCTAGTTTCTGCTTTTTCCTCTGATAATTAATATTGGTGTGTAAATTTTAGGGATATTCGTCACTTAACTTTCTGAGAAATTGCTCACACCAATGAAATTATAAGTATAATCAAACAAAACATGTCACCCACCTCGCAAAGCTATTGTATTAAATGAGATAGTACACACAAAACTCTTTAAAAACCTTAAGGGTGTCCATAAAATGTAGGCTCATTCCCCCATCACATAGCACATGTGCATGGGGTGGTTACAAAAGAACAATTATTCACTGCCACACACTCCTAGTTGACAGATGAAGAAATAGTCTAGAAAAGTAAGATCATACACCTGATTAGGGTAGAGTAGGAGCTAGCACCAACGTTTTTAGATTCCCAGGTCAATATTCCTTGTGGTGGTGGTGGTGGTGGTTGTTCACACCGAATCTGTCCACGGAGTTTTCTTGGCAAACATACTGGAGTGGTTTGCCATTTCCTTCTCCAGTGGATTAAGACAAAGAGAGGCTAAGGGACTTGCCAGGGTCACATAGCTAATAAGTGACTGAGGCCAGATCTGAGCTCAAATCTTCCTGACTCTAGGCCTGGCATGCTATCCATTGAGCCACCTAGCTGCCTTCAATATTATTAACACTATATTATGGGGCAGCTAGGTGGCACAGTGGATAGAGTACTGGCCCTGAAGTCAGGAGGACCTAAGGTCAAATCTGGCCTCAGACCAAACACTTGACACTTACTCGCTGTGTGACTCTGGTCAAATCACGTAACAAACAAACAAAATACTATATTACGTCTAACAAAAGATATCATCCATGCCATTGAAACATTTATTGCCTGGTGGTGGACACAGAATAATTAGAAAACTGTAAATGTAAATATAAAATGTAAAAAACTGAAACAATCCTATATGAAGATAAATTAGCAGCTATATTTTGCAACTACTTCCAAAGACTTGTGAGAGAAGGCCATTTGCATTCTAGCAATTTGCCTGGGACCTGGCCTACCCTCACAAGACTCAGAGAAACTATATCCAAGAAGGGGGGTAGGACAAGCTGCTGGGTGAGCCAACAGCTTCTGTAACAGAATCAAGAAAGGCAGGGACTGTGCTACTGATAAGGCTGGACCATGCCAAGAAGAGCCTGAAATACCAGTCTAGACACACTCCAGAGGTAGGAGAAATACAGAGGGAGGGAGAACAGCAGAATGCTTGGAGAGAGATAGACCAGCTGACACAGACACTGAAAGGGGTGTATAGCAGAACTGAAAAGGATGGATTAAAAGAAAAGGGGAAACTATCTTCATTCTCAGATGAATATTTCAAGATAAACTGCTCCTCTTGTCCTGCCATTCTCCTAGGATACCAGCTCTGGAGTAAGGTTTCACTGATTTGTCCCTTTCTTTGAAATTCAGATGAACTATTCCAAAGTAGTTCCTTAATAAAATAACTTCTTAACTGGGTCATTAACTTTTAACCTGTAAATAAAATGGCTACTTAAGGGATTTCTTGCTGCTAAGACTATAACCCAGATGTGTTGTTTCCCTCTCTTCATAATCTTGGAAAGGACCTGGGGAGGTTATGGAGCCATCAAAGGGGGGAAAAAATAGTTTCTGGGCTGCTGTGGTGATGGCCAGAGTGATGGTCCACTCTGATCTCGTGGCTGTGCAGAGCTCTCCTTTTTAAGGTGTACTTGGCTCCTTTGCTTTCTGTGGGTGCAGCCAAAGATTGAGTTGAAGTTGTCATTCCAGAAAAATGTGTTTCTATGTAAACTGGGTGTGGGGGTGAGGGGAGGGGAAAGGGTGGGGCTGCTGTTTGGCAAGTCTGTCTCAATCCTTTGGCTTTAATTTTAACCTGTTCTTCTGGAGGGTTCCAGGTCAGGAAAATGTCTTTTCATGAATTGAGACCTACGCCAATATCTAGGGTGACCAAGGACTCAAATGCTGCCCTAAATACTGCTGAAGTTAATATTTTCAATAGACTTTACCCAGTCTGATATTACCAAGGCTAAGACACACTTCTGCCTTCACATTGGCCTCGATTCCTATTGTGCGGGTGATATGGTCAACTGGAAGATATCTGACTGGCCTTTTTGCTGCTAATGATAAAAATCAGGTGGATTGGTTTCCTAACTTCAGAGTACAGCTGCAGTCAGGGAGATTATCAGCCTACTAGGGTAAATTCTGGCCCTCAATTTTTGATACAGATTTGTTTTATATTACTGTGGTATAGCTGTGACCAGAAGAGAAAATGGGATACTTAGAGTCTTCCTGTGGCACTAGATAGATCCTTCATCCCAGAAGTTGTGAAGTGGAGTAATAGTTACTAGCTACACAGGTCTTGATTTCCATTTTAATGATATTAACATGTATAGTACTTTGACAAAGTTCTTAATATTATGTTATTTCATTTAATCCTCACAACAACCCCTTGAGGTAGGTGCTAATATTATCCCCATTTTAACAGATGAGGAAAGTGAGCTTGAAAGAGGTTAAGTTTCTTGTGTGATAGTGTCACATAGCTGGGAAATATCTGAGGCAGGATCTGAACTCAGGTCTTCAGGACTCTAGATCCAATATTCTATCCACTGTACCATCTAGTTTTGTTTTGTTTTGTTTTGTTTTTGTTTTTGTTTTGTATATTCCTCATTATATCCTAAGTTGAAGTTTGAGCAGAGATGACTGGTGCTTAGATAGAAGCAGCTTTTTAACATAGTAAATCTCCAAGTATGTTACCATCTCAAGCATGGTCAGTTATTCATTAAGTGCCTACTATGTTCCAGACACTGCTAAACTTTGGGAATACAAAGAAAGATAAAAGACAGCCCCTACTCTCAAAGAGTTCACAGTCTAATGGGATCAACAACATACAAACAACTAGGTATAAACAAGCTACATATAATGTTTATTGTCTGATATACAGAACAAATCCCAAATAACCAACAGAGGGAAAACACTAGCATTAAAAGATCAGGAAGGGCTTCCATGTGGAAGGTGAGATTTTTATCTGCGATTTGAAAGAAACCAAGGAAGTCAAGAAGTAGAAATGAGGAGAGAGAGCATTACAGGCATAGGAGACAGCCAGTGAAAATAATTGGAATCAGATTTCTTACATGAGAAAAGGAGACAGCCAGTGAAAATAATTGGAATCAGATTTCTTACATGAGAAAAGCAAGGGAGGCCAGTGTCTCTGTATTGAAGAGTACTGGGGTAAGTAGGTGGGTGCGTGGGTGTAAGAAGACTGGAAATGAAGACAAGTTATGAAGGTTTGAATGTCAAGTAGAAGTTTTTGTATTTGATCCTGTAGGTGATAGGGATCAACTAGAGCTTATTGAAGGGGAGTAGAGTCCTGGTTAGATCTGTACTTTAGGAAGATCCCTTTGACAGCTGAGTAGAGGATGGATTGGAGTGAGGAGAGACTTGTGGCAGGGAGACCAACCAGCAGGCTATTACAATAACCTAGGCATGAGGTAATGAGGTACTGTACGAGGATGCTGATAATGTCAGAGGAGAGAAACAGGCATACTGTGAGAGATTATGAAGATAAAATCAACAAGACTTCTCAACAGATTGGCTATGGGGGGTAAGAGTGAGGAATAGAGGAGAGCACCTAGGTTTTGAGCCTAGGAGACTGGGGAGATGGCAGTATTCTAATAATAAGAAAGTTATAAAGAGGAGAGAGTTTGGGAAGAAAGATAATGAGTTTCAAACATGTCGAGTTGAAGATGTCTATGAGACATCCAGTTGGCATTAGGGAGATTCAACTGAGAAAGTAGGGCTGAGTAGATTTGAGAATCATCAGCATAGAGTTGATCATTGAATCCACAGACACTGATGAACTCACCAGGAGAAATAGTAGTGGGAAAAGAGAATTTGGAATCAGAAAATAGGTTTAAAGACTAGCCCTGCTTACTTTACTACCTGTTATGACCCTGGCCAAGTCTGGGCCTCAGTTTTCTCATCTGTAAAATGAGGGTGGAAGATAAAGAGTCTTATCATTCTAAATTTATTATCCTTCCATCATTTGCCAAGATTTTGAAGTGGAATAGGAAAAAAGCTAAGACTTGCCTTCTTCAATCTATTAGGACTTTTATAATTTCACTTTCCTAAGCCTCAGGTTAAGTGATCACAAAGCTTAGGAAATATGAAAAGTAACATATTTTCCCAAAAGTTTTGGGGACTTCTGGTAAAGAAATACAACAAACATTCCCAGAAATAATACTACCTCAGAGAGTAGGATCTTCTTTCTTTCCTAATGGCAGTTGATGTATGCTGGATAAAGAGGATGGGAGGTAATATCTCAAGGGCCACACTGTGGCTTCTCTTTGATAAATATTTTTTTTCTGAGTACCCTATTTCTCCCAGGAGGCCTGTAAATGTCAGCATTTTCATGGGAAATCAGTGAAACACTTCAAACAAAATTACCGGGTATGTTTGATTAAGGGATGAGAGAGGGTAGCTTGTCTTTGGAATAAGCTTTCTGGGACTTTGGTAAAAAAAATTCTTTTTCTTTTCCTTTTTAAATTTTTTTTAAAAAGAGGGTTCAGTTTGGAAATCCCAAGCCTATAGTAGACAACTCCATCTCTGCCACAATACTGCCTATGAATCCTAGACTTCTGGCCCACAAATAGGCAAGTCTTTCCCTTCCTTTAGACTCTGGCTATGAACATGGGGGTGGGAGAAATGGGGAGAATCCTGTCATGCCACTTGGTTTTCTGGACAAAGAAAAAAAAAGACCTTCCCTGTTAAGCCACCGAAGATCTCCCTTTTGGTTTCATCCTTCTTGCATTTGCTATCTCTTGTTCTGTCCTTTGACACTCACAATGCTATTCTCTTTGACTAGAGACTACATGGGAGCGGCCCAACGGTTCTCCTCGGACCCCATCAAGCCCTGGCACTCAGAGGAACTTTCAGCCTGCGACAGGTACTGTCCAGTTGCCATCACCTAGCAACAGGAAGCAGGTCACAGTTAGGTGTCAACTTCAGTCCCTCATTAGAAAGCTCCAAATAATTAGTTCCAACCTCTGAAACTGATACAGAGACTTGCCAGAATTCTCAGATATGGCTGACCTAGTCTAAGCATAAAGTAAAGGCCACAGATAGGGAGTAAAGACTGAGCATAGTCTTATGGTCCTAATACGCCCTAGAGGATTTTAGCCTTTTGATATAGTGGGAAAGGCAACTCTGATAGTTTTAAGATTCTGGTGGAACCAGACTAATGAGAAATGCCTTAAGAGGCCTGATAGAGTGCCTGGTGAATGTCAAATTGTCGAAAAGAACTCATAAAGGAAAAAAAATGATGGAGGTTGAGGGAGAGGGGGCAAGACTGACAAGAAAGGAGTTGCAAACATAAGTCATTTGTGATTTCCTGGAGAGTGCTGCCTACTTTCCAACATAAGTATACGTGAGATTTGAAGCAGAGCCTATCGTATAATGTGCTCTGTGGTCTAAGATACACAGAATATGCCATCTCTGTAATTTATTTGTCTGCGTGCAAGTTGAGTTGTACTTAGGTGTGTTGACTCTTTAGATCCCTTGGGATAAAAAACAGTCGTGGAATTGAGAGGACTGTGAGGAATAGTCTTTGTTCCTGGCTTATTCAATGTTGTCCAGACACTAACTAAGAAAAGAACAAAGTAATTTCTTTTAGATATTATGATTACTGAATACAACTGGAGGCACCAAATCATGTCAATATTGTTATTCTCCCTAAAAAAGAAACCAAAAGATATTGGGAAGTTACAACTAAAGGAAAGGTGACACAAAAAATTTCCTTAGAGATGCAATCCAGATCTAAGTGAGAGGAAGCATTTTTGCCTTAGCTCCCCAGAATAACTCCTCTACAATAACTTAGAAAACATGCTAGACTGAATTTTGAAAGGGAAAGCCAAGGAAAAATCACAGTGAGTCAGAACAGTTTAAGCCCAGAACAGTTTAAGAAAACAGATTGAAAAGTCTACTGACATTGGGACTGGGGCATACCAGAAGCACAGTGTCAGTGGTGTCAGGGATTAGAGGCATTCTAATGCCCAAGAATGGAAAGGGAGACAGAACACTAGGACCCAAAGAGAACCCAGGGGATCCTTGAACTGGCACTAGGATCAAAAATGAGTACTATCTGATAGCTCTGTCATCCATTACTCACTTCTAGGTCATAGACCCAGGGCATCAAGGAGTGATCACAAGTAAGTGGGGCCTTAGTTGAGTACAGAGCACCAAAAAAAAAAAAAGAAAAGAATTCCAGAAACATAGCAGTATGGCTCTGAGCTCAGGAGAAGAGAAGTGACTCAGTTCTAATTTTTAGCTTAGTACATAAGTCTGCAATGGAATAATCAGGGCAGGAGACCAAAACCAAAAGGGAGTTGAGTTGCTCTGAATCCGGAAAGCCTCCCAGTGGGCTAACACACTAACTGAGTCCAACAGCAGTCTAGTGTAACTCAACTATACCCAACAGACCCAACCTGCAGAGCTCAGACCAGGAGTTCAGTGAACGGCCTTTCCCCAAGTCATACTACTTTGGAAGCACTGAAAACTTTCAGTCCCCCACACTGATCTGTGAAAGACATAGAAGAACAAAAGCTAAGACCAGATATCCCCCCCTAGAAGTGAGTAGAGCCCAATACTAACATAGAGTCCAAATTAAAGAAATTAGAAGAATGAGCAAAAAAATAGGACCCAAACATAAAGAACTACTCTAGTGATGAAGACAATGACTTAAAAACATCTATAAACAAGATTTCAGAGAAAAATCCAGATTGGACACAAACCCAAAAAGAATTTCAGAAAGAGTTAAAGAAAGACTTAAAAGAGCTAAAAAAAATGATTTTAAACACCAAATGAGAGCTATGGAAAAAAGATGTGAAAAGAGAATCAACAGCTTGGTTAAAAAAAAGCACAAAACGTTTTTGAAGCAAAAGTGGAGCCATTAATACAGGCTTGGCAGGATTGATGTCATGCATCAAAACAAAGCAAGACATATTTTGATAGACATGTGGTCATGGTTTATGATAAGCATAAGCAAAAAAGATCATTTTAAAGATAAATTGCAGTTTATATGCCAATGTCTATTCAAAAAGATAAAGAAGTAGAAAAATGCTGCCAAAAAGTCCACTGATATGTCACTTCCAATTAAGTCAGCTTTAATAATTGGCGGATTTGAATACTACAATAAGCACTGGGAAAGAATGTGAAAATTTGATTCAGGATCAAGAAATTAAAGAATCCAAAGTCTCGTACACTATCTAGAATCCTCATGCCTAAATCTCATGAATATCTTTTCTTAAAACAACAATAATGAAACAATTTTATTGATGTCTTTTTAATTTTTAAAATAAGTTTTTTATTTCTTTCACTTTTTACATCATCATAGTTTTCCCCAATATCCCTACCTCTCCCTCTCCCAGAGAGCCATCTCATGTAACAAAATATTTTTTAGAGATGAAAAGAAAGAAAAAAGAAGAGAAAATAAAATAAGCATAACTGAACAATATATTATTCTAAAACATGTGTAACATGTAACAAGTGTGGGCCTCCCACTTCCACAAAAGGGTGGGTTGGGGGTGTTTTTCTCTCTTCATTTTAGTCCTGCTTTTGAGCTTTATATTTTTGTTGCATTCACTTTTGATTGTATGTGTGTGTGAGTAGTTTTTATTTCCATTTGCATTGTTGTAGTTATTCTGTATATTCTTTTCTTGGCTGTGATTTGTTCTGAATCAATTCATGTAGATCTTTTTCATGCTTCTCTATATTCATCACATACATCATTTCTTATAGCACAGCTCTACTGTGGACTGCTACTGTTTTCCTGCTGAAGTCTAACCATGTAAAGCATTTGCAAGGAAGTGCCAGGGACACAAAGAAAGGCAAGAAACAAATGTCTGCTTTCCAGGAGCTCACAATCTAATGAGGGGAGATACCATACAAACAACTATGTACAAATAAGATATAAAAGGGATACATTGGGAGTTAAAGAGAACTAGGAAAAGTTTCTTGAAGCAAGTAGAGCTTTAGCTGAGACTTAAAGGAAACCAGTGAATCTAGGAGGCAGAGATGAGGATGGAGAGCATTCCAGACATGGGGGATAGCCAATGAAAACTCTTCAATGTAGTATCCTGGGCAAGGAATGGAAAAGAGGTCATGGTCACTATTATCAAAGAGATAAATCAAGGGGTAAAGTGATGGAATAAAAAAAGATTTACATAAAACTTAACAAGAGACTAAATTAACCATATTTCCCCCCAAAGCATTTAAAAATGAAACTGGGAGAACAAGAAATATATAAATCTCAGTGTTTATTTTACAAGAAAGTGCTTTTTTTTTCACTAGCTGTAGGGCCACCATTTTTGAAGTCTTACATTGCTGCATAAGGAAGTAGAAATGACATTCAAGAAAACAAAAGAAAGAAAGAAGGGAGGAACAGTATATAGACACAGAGGAGGTCCCAATTGAACATGACACAATGCTGGGGGGATTGAAGGATTGATATCCAAAAGATCAAATCTTTAAGCACAGTATAAAAATGAAACAAGAATACTTTCACAATCCATAGTCTTGAGAAAAGCACATTATTAAAGTCATCTAATTGCCTGAAGGGAGCAGAGAATACTAGGTCTTAGTATGATTAACAAGCATTTGATACTACAGCCTTAAAGCCTGTTTCTCCTCCCTTCTTCTCCCCTCAGCCCCCACCCAAGCACATGTTGAGGTTATGAAAGATATCTTGGTAAGTATAACAGAATAATGTCAAATAAAGGATAAAGCAGGGAGACACAAGTTCATCAAATATGTTTGCCACTGTTATGGAGGATGTCCATCACAGAGAACAAATGAAACAGAGCCGCACTGCAGATGGTGAGGTCCTCCAGATGTTACTTTTTGCAGATGAAGCACTGATTTTATCAAGCCTTGGAACACTACAGAACATCCTAAGTAAGATCTGTAATTACTCAAAAGAATTTGGCCTCACTATCACACAGGAAAAATGAAGCAGATGAAGAATGATATCATAATATAGAGTTGGATGGGTGACATGTAGAGTTAGTCCATCGATTTGCATATCTAAAATGACAGTGCAAATTGATAATGAACTAAACCCAGAATTAAATAGAAGGATAAAAGCAGTCTGGGAAATGGTGACTACAGAATTCACCCTGACACAATGGTGTCACTCTGCCTAGAGCCCCCAAAACTTGTTATCCAAGCTTTTCTTGAAGATCTTCAGCAAGAAGGAACTGCTTCCAAAACCAATCCATTTCACTTCTAGATAGCTCCCATATGGTGAAAACGTTTATATTATCACATCAAAATCTCCCTCTTTTCAATTTTGTGCATTCTTTCTATATTGCTTTCTTGGGCCAAGCAAAGCACATTTAATTAACAACAACCATTTACTATGTGCCAGGCTCTGTGCTAGGTACTGAAGATGTAAAGAAAAAAATGGAATAGTTACTTTTTTCATGGAGCTTACATACTACTTGGGGAGAAAACATGTGCACAGTAAGTGTGTGTATATATTTTTCTATATTTTATGTTTGCCATATACACACACAGACGTGTGTGTGTGCACGCATGCATGCGTGTCTAAAAAATTTAAATTGAGGCACTAGCAACTGAAATGAGGAAAAACCTCATATAGGAAGGGGCAAGTAAGAAGACAGGCAAAACATATTCCTTGCCCTGAACAAGCTCATGGTACAGTAGGGTAGACAATGTACAAATAACTGTATTGTTGTTGAGTCATGTCAGTTGCATCCAACTGTCTGTGACCCCATTTGGGTTTTCTTAGCAAAGAATGAACTGTTTGCCATTTCCTTCTCAAGCTTATTTTACAGTTGGGGAACTGAGGCAAACAGTGACTTGCCCAGGGTCACACAGCTAGTAAATGTCTGAGGCTAGATTTGAACTCAGTTCCTCCTGATTCCAGGG